TCACATAAAATCATTAGGCCTGGAAATTTGTTTTCAAAGGGTTGTAGTTACAGATTTCATTTCTTTTACGAGATATTAACTATTTGTGTTATATATTTCTTCATGTGGCAGTTTAGTATATAAATAATGGCTTTTTAAGTTATTTCAGCATTTTATTGAAATCATTGCTCTAAAATTGTTATGATATATTTTTGTTAGCATTTTATTACCTGAGGGATGTGTAGTTAAGTCCCTTCTTTAAAAAAATCTTGATATTGGATTTTGTGCCCTCTTTCTTTTTTTCTCTATTTTTCTAGAGATTCATTAAATTTATTAGTCTTTAAAAGAACAAACTTGTAGATTTATTTTCTCTTTTATACATTTGTTTTATCTTTCATTGACTTCTGCTTGACTTTTCTTACTTCTTTCTTGCTGCTTACCTTGAGTTTCATTCATTTCATCTTTCCACCTCTACTATATGCATTTAAATATGGCCTTAATTGTAATATTAAAGTTTTTACAAGTTGAATTTTCATTATCATTCAAATGACGGTATTTCCTAATTTTCATTTGTACTCACATTTTAGCTTGTGATTTATTTAGAAGTATATTGAGTACTTTTCAAACATATACAGGTTTTAACATTATCTTTTTGTTATTGATTTCTAGCCTAATTGTGCTTTTTGTCAGAAAATATACTCTGTATAATTTCAGTCTTATTATATTTGTTATATTTGTTTTATATCTACCATTGAGTTAATTGAGGTTGTTCATGTGATGTGAATTCTGCATTTGCTGAGTATAAGGTACATGAGTTAGGTCAGGTTTATTGATTGCATTGTTCAAATGTACTATATCCACATTGAATTTTTGTCTGCTTCTTGTATCACAGAGAAGTTTGTTAAAATCTTCTACTATGATAATGAATTTGTCCATTTTCCCTCGCATCATGTCATTATTTTGCTTCACATATTTGAGACTAAAACTGCAACAAATTCAGAATTGTAATGTTTTAGAAAGATTGACACTTTTATTATGAAATTAACTCTCTTTGTTGCCAATAATGTTTCTTGCCTTAAAGTGTAATCTGATAAGTGCTCAGTGCATTTACATATTATTGTCATCAAATTTGGGGTTTTAAGTTTGCTCTCTTACTCTTTGTTTTCTACTTATCTATCCATTCTATATGTCTTTTCTCTACTTTTTGGCATATTTTGGATTATTATCTCTTCATTCCATTTTTTCCTGTTTTATCTTGCTATTTTTGTTGTTATTTTTTAGTGACTATTCCAAAGATTATGGTGAGCATTCTTGACTGATTAAAGTTCAATATTAATTAGTACTTTTACCACCTTCAAGAATATGCAAAGATTTTAGAACACTCTTCTATGTTTTATCCTATTATTGTCACGAACTTTGACTCTACCTATATTTTAAATCCTGTTAGGTGATTACTATTGTTATTGTAAATCTTTGATATGTACTTAGGTTTACCCACACATTTGCTCTTTCTAGTGCTCTTGGTTTCTTTGTGCAGTTCTGGCTCTCACCTGCGATTGCCTTTGCACTTTTGGAATCAGTCCTTTTAGCATTTCCCTTAGTTCATGTTGGCAGGTTACAAATCATAGGTTCAGTTTGTCTGAAATTATTATTTTGTCATTAAGATGATGGGTATTTTTATTGCATAAAGAACTCTAAATTAGTTATTTTCTTTCATAATTTTGAAGATATTGTTCCATTTCCTTTGGGTTCCATTGCAATTGTTGAAAAGTTTTATATACTGGACCTTGGTGGAGTTTTTGTTGTTGTTTCTATCCTCTTTAGGATTCACAGTGCTTCTTGAGTCTATGCCTTTTTTTAATTATGATTTTTAAAAAATGTATTGCCCTTTAAAATACTGTTTCTTCAAAATTCTTCCTCTTGTTTCTTTCCAGAGCAACATTATAGGCATATTAAAACTGTGCCCTGTGTCTTTCATGTCTTTTGTGTGATTTTATATGATTTTTATCTTTTTTTGTTGCCATTCCTCAATCTGGTATTTCTTTTTTTGTTTTTTGTTTGTTTTGTTTTGTTTTTTGAGACTGAGTTTCGCCCTTGTCACCCAGGCTGGAGGGCAATGGCGCCATCTCAGCTCATTGCAACCTTTACCTCCTGGGATCAAGCAATTCTCCTGCCTCAGCCTCCCTAGTAGCTGGGATTACAGGTGCCCACCACCATGTCCAGCTAATTTTTGTATTTTTGGTAAAGACGGGATTTCATCATGTTGACCAGGCTGGTCTCAAACTCCTGAACTCAGGTGATCCACCCACCTTGACCTCCCAAAGTGCTGGGATTCCAGGTGTGAGCCACCACACCCAGCCCAATCTAGTATTTTCTACTGACCTATATTTCAATTCCATCATCCTCTGTGTCTAATCTTCTATGAGTCTTCATCAGTTGAGTAATTTCAGTTATTTTATTTTTCAGTTTCAGAATTTCTATTTGATTAAAAAATTCTCTAGTGTAAATTTTCTATATTTTGTGTACGCTCTTCAATTAATTACAGCTATTTTAAAGCCAATGAATTCTGAGTGCCCTTGTGCATTTGTTTCTATTTTCTGTTTATTTTCGTGATCTGTTTTTCTAGACTTGTCTTCAGACATGGCTGTTAATAGTTATTGAAATTTGGACATTGTGTCAAAAAAGTTTGAGAACCAATTTGTTGATCTGGTTGGTGTTATTGTCCTCCAGAGACTCTTTACTTTTGCTTGGTGTGTGTGCGAGGAGGTTGTTATGATGGTGGCAAATCTCCTAATCTATTCAGTGATTGTCTACCTAATTAAGTCATTTAGGTGATTTGAAATTGGGCTCCCACTTCATGATGGTACAATATTTCTAGTGCATGCTCTCTCCTAGGGTGTAGCCCTTCAGGGGTCCTAACTGAAAATTTTGAGGTAATTATAAGGGCACCACCTCCTTGGTGGTCTCTAGACTCTAATATTGCTTCTTAAACTAGATTTCCTTTACTTCTGAGCATCTTAGACACTCCATTTCTCCTGTTTCTTTACCTCTCAGTGTCCAATTTCAAATCAGCAGTGCCTTGAGTAAAAAGTACTCAAGAGTTGAAAATCAGATTCACTTTTTGGTACTTCCTTTCTTCTGGGGATTTTATTTCTTTAAGTTCTCATCACCTGGGCAGCTTTCTAAAGCCTTTGAACTTACAGGTTTTGCATTCTGTTCATTCTTTTAAGCTGCTCTCAGCAGGAGGGTTTGTCAGCAACAATCTTCTCTACAATTAATAAAGCTTGAAATATCTCTAGCATGAGTTATTTTGAAGCAGATAACATTTTAACGCATATAACAGAAAGAACATACATCTGCTGAAATTGAAGAGTTTCCTGATGTAGAGGCCTTTCCTTCAAACTAAGAAACAAAGTTGGAAGCACTTATAACATTATGTTCGGAGTAAGAAATGTGAACACTGATGAAAGCAAAACTGCAAAAATTTTGCCTAAAATATGAGTGTTTTAGCATTGTAAAGAAGACCAGGAATCACCCAAAATGACCAAAATTATTCTACTTAGGGACCTTAAAGTAGAAAGAACCCAGGACCAGTATCATTTTCATGCCTTTTAAAATTTCTTTTTGAAATGGTGAAATGTCACAGTGGATTTTTAAAATGGGGGAATGTTTAAAATGTTGATATTTAATAAATTAGTACTTTTTAACTGACAAATTTCCATATAATATTATCATGCTCATTACATCAGGAATTCTCAATCCCGGGGCCACAGACCGGTAGTGGTTCATGGCCTGTTAGGAACTGGGCTGTACAGAAGAAGCGGAGCAGTGCACAAATGAGCCAGCAAAGCTGCGTCTGTATTTACAGCTGCTCCCCATCACTTGCATTACTGCCTAAGCTCCACCTCCTGTTAGATCAGCAGCAGCATTAGATTCTCATGGGAGTGTGAACCTTATTGTTGAACTGTCCATGCTAGGGAGCTAGGTTGCAGTGTTCCTTATGAGAATCTAATGCCTGATGATCTGCCACTGTCTCCCCTCACCCCCAAATGGGACCATCTAGTTGCAGGAAAACCAGCTCAGGGCTCCCACTGATTCTACATTATGATGAGTTGTATAATTATTTCATTATATATTATCATGTAATAACAATGGAAATAAAGTGCACAATAAATGTAATGTGCTTGAGTCATCTGGAAAACATCCCCCAGCCCTGTCTGTGGAAAAATTGTCTTCCATGAAACCTTTCCCTGGTGCCAAAAGGATGGGGACCGCTGATTTACATGATAATTAGAACATTTATAAAATCCTAATTTATAGAGTGGTCATAAAATGGTAGGAAAGTTAAAACAGTTTGAGGAACTGACAATTTTTTTTTTTTTTAATACTTGCATTGCATCTCTACGACTGTGGACAGCTTCTTTTGGAGATAATGTTGACAGTCTAAGAAGTTAAGCTGTGACAAATTTACTCCCCTCCCCTGCCCCTATAGCACACTCTGATTTTAAATGCTTTTTATCTTAATTCTAATTAAATGACATAATTATAGTACCATATCACAGTCAATGTCATTTATCAGTAACAGCTAATTAACACAATTACAAAAGTGGGAGCCCTAAGTGGGAGCCCAGTGAGGTATAGAGCAACTCTGGAAATTTTCTCCTTACTGAAAGGAAATATTACACATATTCCTTCACCAGAAGAACAATACACAGTTTATCTTCCCTTTTTGTTTTTGATAATATCACTTTGTTCCCCATTCTCTACAAAATTTCGTTTGAATAACATTTTAAAAACTTGATTCATCATAGTCATCAATCCTTCATAAATATTTCTTGACATAATTGGCCTCTCTGTAGTTTTGCAACTTGGACTATTCATGTTTAACAGCTTAGTTTTTCAAGACTATTGTGTTTCAAACGGTTTTGAGGTTTTATGGTCTGTTGACATTCTGAGGAACTTAGAACACATTCACTTCCTTTTGCTTGGTGAGCTGTCCAGAGCCCTTGTAAATGCATGCAGAGCATGGAAATGCCCCAGCTGCCCTGCTGTTGAAACAGAATCCTATTTGGAAGGCAGACATGTGGCCCATCTCTGTAGCCATCACTGAGAAATCTGGATTTTCAAGGTAAGTGCAGAAGACTTAGGTTTGGGGAGACATGAATGAAAATGCCGTAGAAATAAAGCATACTGAATTGGTTGGCATAGTTCTAATTCTGAATCTTCCAATGGTTCTGCTATAAAAAGCAAGCTTATTCTCTCTAACCACAACTCCTTCTTCATAGAAAGAATTGTTCTATTCTTACTGCTTAGGATACGCTGCTCTGAAAGTAAAACCTAATTTTTATTGGTAACTATGAACCAAAATGATTTCAGAATCTCTCTGTCAAAATACCGGCTAAACGTATCATAGAATTTTTTAGGGCACCTGGCACTATTGAATTTATGTGTAATTATTTAAATGCTTATCTTTTAAGTGATGTCTTAATTTTCTTTTGTTACGAAAAATCCTTTAACTCTATTACTGCATTATTTTCAGATAGAGTTTGAGACTATTCAGGCAGCCCTAGTCAATAGAAGGAAACAATCTGTAAGCAATCAGGTACTTAGACATTTCTAAAAGAAGCATATTCAAAATAACATGTGAAATAATGGTAATTATAATTCTTTCCATCCCACTTTTAAAGTACTACATAACAGGAAGGATCCAAAAATAACTTCTTAAATAAGACAAATAAAAGGAACAACATCTGTTCAAATAATTTTACTTTAAGTAAAATACCGTCTGTACCGATATTTTCTACTTCCAAGATGTAGCATTTTTCAAATATGTCGAATGAAATATAAGGCAAAGTTTTTAAAAAAATAAGTAATGCCTAACCTGAATATAGGCATTTAATTTTGTTTCACAAATTTGTTATATGACTTTTGATAGGTCACTTAATTCTCTGGACTTCAACGTTCTACATAATTGCACAATTACTTATCTGAGAAATTACTTAGTAAGTACTCCAGAATTACATGTCTTTGTTTTCTGTTTTATTGGGTTTAAATCAATTAATTAGTCAGGATTTTAATCAGTCAATAGGAGTAATAGGAAGACCAATGAATGAGGAATCAGGTGGTGTGAACTCTAGTCCTCTGTTTTCTAGTAACTGGCTGCATAATTTGGGGGAATATTATCTAAGGATTCCAGACCACGGGTTGGCAAACTTTTTCTACGAAAGCCTAGATAGTAAATATTTTAGACTTTGCAAGCCAAGAGGTAGAACTGAGGCTAATATATTGGTACTTACATAACCATTTAAAACTATAAAAATCATTTGTAGCTCATAGACTGTACAAAAACAAGAAGTGAGCCAGATTTGACTTAGGGGACACAGTTTTCCAACTCTTCTTCTAGCAATAATTTTCAACAATTATAAAATGAAAGTTGTAGACTAGATAAGAGATGCTCAGCTAAGGGAGATCCTGGATGGTCTTTAGAGTGATACACCAGTCCTCTGAAATTGCATGCAAAAGTGTAATGTGTGTTTTTCTTTTCTTTTTTGTGTGTGTGTTTGTTTTTCTCTCCCTCCTTCTTTCCTTCCTTCCTGCCTGCCTGCCTGCCTGCCTTCCTTCCTTCCTTCCTTCCTTCCTTCCTTCCTTCCTTCCTTCCTTCCTTCCTCCTCCCTCCCTCTGTTTCTCTCTCTCTCTCTCTCTCTCTCTCTCTCTCTCTTTCTTTCTTCAGGGCCTTTCTCTCTGTTGCCCAGGCTGGAGTTCACTGACCCAATCATGGCTCACTGACTGCAGCCTCAATCTCCAGGGGTCAAGTGATCTTTTCATCTCAGCCTCCTCAGTAGCTGAGACTACAGGTACTTGCCACCACACCTGGCTAATTAATTAAGTTTTTTTTAATAGAGACAGGGTCTTGCTCATGTTGCCCAGGTTGGTCTCAAACTCCTGGGCTCAAGTGATCCTCCTGTCTTGGCCGTGTTGGGAGTACAGGCATGAGCCATTGTGCTTGGCAGCGCTTTTTTTTTTTTTTTGTCTTTTTTAAATAAGAAAAACACGGATTTCATCAGATTTTCAAAGTGGCCCAAAATCCAATTAAAGTTAAGGAACATAGATCTAGCTAATTTCTAAAAGTGCTTTCCAAATTTAAAATCAATGAACCCGTGAAATGTTTACTGGTGTCTACTATGTATAAGCCATTGTGCTAGCACTATAAGAAACATAGCATGTTGTGA